CCCCAAGGCGCCAAGTAGTACCAGCCCTTGCTCTTCTCTCCCCCCGCCACATACTTCGGCAGGAAAAGGGAATGGAACACGCTAAATGGAATGTCCACAGTATCCACGTTCCCACAATATGGGACTACGCATTTGGATTTAGCTGGGTCGGAGCTAACCCATAAGATCGGAGCACTAGCTTAAAGAAAGGGTGGAAATGGAGTCTTAGCCGAGCCTTGAGGAGGTTCTCGCTCACCGCTACTCACCCTGGCCTCGGATAATAGGCTCTCTCATGGGGCTCGGGTATGATCAAATCTATGCTATCAGGGATCCTGAAAACGACCCTACACCTCTCCAAAACCTCCCCAATGATGTTGGAGGGATGACTTGAAGCCCCCCCACTGGATCGAAGTGTCCACGGGAGAAGCTGGACGCCTCCAAATATTTTCCCCAGCCCTAATAGCCCTACTCAGCTCATCCGACGACACCACATTGGCTCCATCAGAGTAGAACCCTCCTCACCCCTCTTCACTTCACTCACAGAGGCGCTAACGGATTGCTCTCTCGCCATGTAGAGGTTTGTGGTACAAGAATGTTGAAGAAAAAGATGAGGAAACTGAATTCGAATTTCGTTACATAGTTTAACGGCCGCCGGAGTTCGCACGATTGGTCGTCGGAGTTCCTAATACTCACCGGAGAAGGAATAGTCACTGAATTCTTGAAAGTTCGAAAGCGATATGGAGGTTTTTCTCGCAAAAGTAAAAGTTTCCAAATGGAGCAAACGAGCCTTTTATAGGCATCCAAGATTCGACCTAACCGTTGGATCATCCCAATCAAATCCAGACTGTTCAACGATGGGATGCAAGGATCTCCGTTAAAATTAAGGGTCATTTGAATTGATGGCCCTGATGAAGCGGTGAGTTATACGCACAGCTTGAGCACGTCGCCTTGAGGAACTTGAGCCGTCGCCATCATTATCATTTATGGCGAGAGATGTGTGTCTTGGAAGCAAAGGAACGCCCCCCTCCCCCCATGATTACCTTGGGAAGATACAAGGGCTTCCAAATCAT